AAAAACAAACATTAAAAAAATTTAATATTTAGTCATGCATCCGTGTTTTTTTATTACTTGAGCCAATCTATTTGGGATGAACTGAATTAAATTTAATACAATATTTGGATTAATATCCTCCCAGCAGTATAGTAGGTGGGCGATTCCGTACTCGCGGGTGCAACATTTAGACTCACTTAAGGCTTCTTACTAAGAAAATAAAAACTCTTTTTAAAGAAATGACTGGTCGCAGGATTTCATTATAATCTGTTTTACAAAAATTAATATAAAAAACATTTAATAAAATGTATAAATAGACACAGGAGAGGTTCAAAGTGCTATCGCGGGTGCAACGAAATCGGCCCACCATTAAAGTTCATGAAGCTAGAATGAAAAAAGTCTGTTAATTATGGAATATTTATTGAATTATTTTTACATTCTCTAAAAGAATACAATACAAACTAACTATTAACTTAAATAAAATTATTAAAATAAATAAATATTATAAATTATTCACTTTTTATCCAGTCGCGGGTGCAACATAAAATTATCGCGGGTGCAACACGTCTCACTGTAGTGAATATAAACATTTCCATGTAACTTTAAATTAAAGATATGAGATCATAGATGCTGTATTATCACTAATTAGCACTTTCCTATGTAACTTTAATAAATTATTTGTTTGGAATAGTCGGCGATTTATCAGCCTTAAGGTTTTCTTCAGAATCGCTGTAAACATCAGAAACGCCTAACTTTTGCGTAACTTTTTTTGTAACTTTTCTAGGTTTTTTTTAGTAGCAGTTGTCAAAACTAATTTGCTTTTCAAATTAGACTTCGACGTTCGTGCAACACAAATGCTCTTACCCTCCTCAAATTGAAAAAAATGTTTTGATTAAATGGCTGGTATATTTTTTAGTCCTTTCCACCTATCATTTAACATGGTTTTTCATTCTTTAATTTGTTTTTGGGATACAAATATAAAAGAAATTTTTGGAGAAAGGCGACGAGCCAGATCATAAAATTCTTCAGCGTTGTTAACAATTGCTTTCCGAGCTCAATTATTAACCGCGGTTACTGATTTGACATTTTATGCAGTTACCGGTTACTCGCTAAAATAGAATGGTTTTAACTTTTTATTACCGCCGGTAATAAAAAGTTAAAACCATTCTATTATATAGCGGTAATTTACCGGTAACTCGCTAAAAATTCCCTAATGTAATCGTAAGAGTCATAACTGTTGCACCCGCGATTCTAATATTTTAATCGCGGGTGCAACTCATTTTAGTCAACGTTAATTTTAATTAAAATGACAACTTACGTTCTATTGCGACAGAATCAAGTTTTCCTTTTATTTCTTCTTACTTCTACAAAGTTTCAAAAAATTACCAATTTATTTCTTCAAGAAAACCAAACTTTAATTTCTTTTATATCGCGGGTGCAACTGACCAACAATGGTTTCTTATTTAATTAATATTGTTAGAAAAATAATAAAAAATATTTAATTTTTTTATATAAGGCAATAAACAAATGTTATGACTTCAATATTCATCAGTGAAATATAACCTCAAACCACCGGTAATAGCGATTTCGTGGAAAAATTATCAAGTGTCGATGAATAGTTTGCATCAAGTCTTCAGGCGCCACCATTTCTGAGCGCGCCAAAAAATTCAAATAATAACTTAAGTTCTTAAAAGTTTTTTTATTATTAAATATATATCTTTCTCTTTATATTGGTATAAAAAAAGTAATAAACTCTGTGATTTAAAAATGTATGTCAAAAATCGTCTCCCGCGGAATCGCCCAGGTATAGTATAGTTGTATAGTTTCCCATAAATCCTCAGATATCCCAAAAAAGCAGCATCCTGTTCAGGGGTGGACATTTTGGGACGACCTGAACCAACTTTTTGGTTTAGTAAATCTTCCTGTTCCCAGCGTTGCTTAATTTTTAATAAAGATTTTTTATTTTTATTATACCACGGTACGAATTGACCATTCTTCTTCGATTCTTGATACTATTTGAGCCTTTTTAACTGACGCGGCATTTTTATTTTCTACTGTCAGTTATAGTGAGTTAAGTCAATGGAAAGCCGGTTTTACACAATAATGTTGACAGGTTTCTCTCATTCTAATTCTTGTACGCTTTTTTAATGAATACAACTGTACATTAAAATTTTGTAATCAGCCTAACTATAAAAGGTATAAAGGTATATAAAGGGAATTTAAAGAAATTTAGGGAGTTTAGTAAATTTTGAGGCAATCCTGAGAAGGATAGGTGGTCGAAAAAGGGTATGAAAAAAATATATAAAAGTAAATATATTTACTTTTATATATTTTTTTCATATATGAAAAAATATATAAAAGTGAAAAGAAAAGTGGTGTGTTAAAATTTTGTGGTGACAAAAAGGTTAAAACTTAAGTAGTTAACGTTCCTGTCTGAACTTTATACAGCATAGGGACCCAGATTATTTCAATTGTTCGGTGCTGTTCCGCTTTTACTCGCATAGCGATTTTGGGGAAGATACTCAGTAAATGTTTCAGAGATAAGTAATTAGAGATAAGGTGAAGGTATGAATAAATAAAAATTGTGAATGATTTAAAGGAAAAACAAATTAGAAAAAACCTTCTTTAAAGTTTTGATATTTTACAGAAGGAATAAAGAATAAAGAGGGAAAAGATAACCTCATAACGCATTCGGCTGTCAGCCGCTCTTATAAAAATCAATTTTATTTGTCAATAAATATTGTTCATAATATTTTAAAGTTTAATATATTATTTGTGTTGCTGTTTTGAGCTAAACTTTTTGCATCTTTATTTTATTTATGGGTCATTTAACCATGGAGAGGTATATGCATTTAATTCAAATAATACTTTTTTACTGTTGTTGGCCGTAAAAGATTAAAGATATATGGTGACTAATCTTAAATTAGTCAAACTATTTACGTAGTAAAAAATAACTATTTAAAAGTGAAAACGACTATTGTATTAGTAAAAAATGCTGGTACTAATTCAAATAGTAGAATTTTGACTATTTCATTTTTAGAGAGTAGGCTAGTTCGACTTTAAAGTAAAGTTTGAATTAAAAATAGGTACTCTCCGCCGTAAAGGACGTGACAAGTAGTACTTAATAAACACAAATCTTAAGTAAGTAAGCAACCCATTTTCTAATCTTTGCCTTAAATATTCAAACTGCGAGACTTTCTCAAGTTAAAAAAAACAATTGTTAAAAGCAGTATAAAATAAATATAAATGCAATTTCTTAAGTATTAAATAAGAAAATAAAACGTTTTGGGTCAGTTTAATGCCCCCAAAAACCAAAATGTTGTTCTTTCTTGTCCTACACTCCACTAGCCTAAATCGGGCGTATGGCCCGGCCCGGCGACAAAATTCCGGGAGTGGCCTTAACCATCGACACTGTCATCCACGACCTCCTAGGGAAGATTACCTGCCGGGGTGAAAATTCGGATCCACCAAACACAGGTAACGCTGTGCAGTGGCGGGATACGTAGGAGAACCGAAAGGGGGTAAAATAGCCCTGGAAGATCCTGCCATACGTTCTTGTACTCATACTCACACTCATACTCATAAGTAAAAAAAACCTAAAATTCGCTAAGCTGTGACAAACATCTCTATAAAGTATTGAGCTCGAACTTTGTATAATGGTATTTAAGACCCGTCTGGCAATGGTAAACTATATATATATATATATATATGCATGCTACAAAAAGTTTCGAGACTCCACCTCCCACCCATTTTCTAGCACAATTTTTCTGGACATGCAATTTTTGAATATAGCTCCCTCCTTTTAATTAAAAAAATTTATTCTAAAGCCATAATTTATTTATATCAAGCATTAACTAACATATGTTATCCTCTAGTTTGTTTCTTAATTTTTTAAATTTTTGTCATAAATTATAAATGTATTTTTTCCTTCTCGATGTCTTCGGCATCATTGCATTTATTTTTCAAAACATTTGCCTAAATGCCTAAAAAGGTGTTATTGGTACCTGTAAAAGAATAGGTAAAAGAGCATTGCCTATTAGAAACAGATCTAGTATTCCTCTATATAACTATACTATAATTATTATTATTATAAAATAATTAATTAATCTTTTACAAGAACAAATTCTTGAATAAAATGTTCACCAAACTTTAACAAAATTTCTTTGTTCTTTTCAGAGGCTTTAAGCCGTAATTTTCGTTTTTCATACCTTCTAATGCAAATTTAGGTACTTGTAAAAAAACACATTGCAAACTGCGAACATAACCCAATTGTTGCGTTTTATATTGCCGCAATTCTCTTCAAAACCAAGTTTTTTTTCAATAATAAGGTTTGGTCAGTTATAAATGTATTTATGTGTATATTTAATAATAAATTTTCAAAATGTATCACTCTTATAATGTAAATAAACATATATTTAAATATATGTAAGATAACCTACCAATCTTTACTTTGCTTTACTGTCATTTAAAATGTACTATGTTGCCAAATTGGTTTAAACTTAAATCAGTGGATATGCGTAAATCAGTTGATATAAATAAATCAACCATTCTGCATATGGGTCTTAGTGTCACTCTTTTACTTATTTTTGTAAGTGTTATAATATAAAAATTGCTATAGGGTTTTTTAAACTGCAGGCCATTTTTTTATAAGCCTTATAACACGATTGTTTTCTAAATATTTTATAAACAATTTTTTTTAAATCTATTAAATTGATTTTCCTTTAATTTGGGTGGTCCGTTTGATAAGTTTGACTTGATTACGTGTTCTAAAAATTTTATAAAATAAAGATATTGTTAAAGTAAAACAATAAAAATAAATATTTCTTTAAACTACAAGCTATTCCAAAATGATGTTTACATCGATAAGATATGGGCACTATCCTAGAATAAAAAGGAATATAAAAATATTAGAAATCATGCGAAAAAAAGTAACAAAAAATAAAACAGAGTACAAATTAAAATACTTTATTAAACAAAAATATATATAAAATGTGACATGCAACATGCACCATGGAACGTACCCGTCCTGAGGTACTGTTAACAGTAGCGCTTTGTAGCGCTCCTTTTCGTGAGTTGGTAATACGATATCAATGGATCTTGATCTTGAAGAAGCGTTTGTCGAAGTGGTGGGCACTTCCAAAAACAAACCAGAATGCGTCAATTCTTCAGTTTTGGCCTTGTTGGGCTGCGAAAATGAAGAATCGACAGATCTTGCCCGGTCTCTACGCAAATCGGGCACCTTGAGAAAGTAATCCCGGACATCTTCGTTATCAGAAACAGCACCTTCTGAAGCACAGTCCGACTCAACAGAACCGGTGTTAGGATCGACGAAAAACGATTCTTGTCTTATTATGGATTTTCTACGCGCACGAGAATAATGGGAAGTATTAGGAATATCTTCCCCTGTTACGGAAAAGCTAGGCAGGTTTAAAGGATTATCATGGCTACTTGATGACTGTTCGTTTTGAGGAGGTAAAAATCGAGGATCCGTTGAAGTTGACGGCACTGATAAAAAATTCGATGATGAAACTGACACATTAGTCGGCGAATGAACTTCAATGGTGGTTGTTATTGAGATAGGAGGAGGATCATAAATACTTATAGATGGGGCTGGCTCCGTAATCTCCTGTGACAGGAACACTGTCGGAGTCTTAAACATTTTGAAATATTCTTCGTCGTCGCTTTCGCTCTCGCTACTGTCTCTATAATACAAAAATTCGTCCGGTATGTCTTCAAGTTCAAGTTCTGGTTCGGGCGGATGCAGTCTCTGGTGCTCCTTGTCCGCCTTGCAGTGCCAACAGTATTGCGACTTGCAGCTGGAGGATATTCTTCGTAAAAACCTTCTGGATGGTGCCTCCGACGACGATGAAGAATCGTCAGGCATGCTGATATCTATGCTTTGCGAACGCGAACTAAAACCGGCTGTCGGTGTTGGAGGTGGAACCCTTAGGAAAACTTCCGCTTCTGCAGACGGTCCCACAAGCTCCTTGTTCCTTCGGGCTTCCAGTTGATTGTCATCGAAGGATGCCGAGCGGATAGGTTGTGGCACCTCAAGGCTACTTTGGGCCTTCATTTCCGCGCCCGTGGGCGTCAGGGACCGTTTTAACGTAGACTTTAAGTGGCGCATTTTAATTATAAAATGTACCTCCACAAAACAACGTTAGCATTCTGAAAAATAAATTATTGAATCTGTTATTTATAATATCATAAATATAACAAACCAGTGCATTCAGCATTATTGATTTGTTTTTAAAAATGTTTTAAAATTAAATTATAAAATCTGTTCTAAGGTATTTGTAATTACAATTTTAAAAATAAACTAATCATTTCAATTATATGAAAGTTTTATTAAACATGCTTCATTAAATTAAAATCAGCCGATCAGTATATATTTAAATATTTAATATAATAATTTGCATATTGTATACACAAGACACCAAGAAACCCGACTAATGCTCTTGTAAAAAATATTTAACATTGATGTAAGCTAAAATTGCAAAGTCTTATTTACTTCTAGTTTAAATTTAAAATATCCAAAGCTTATAAAGAAATTTAACTATAAACGAAATAGGGACATTCATGTATTTTTGAGGGAGTATTTCTTTGAACAAAATGCAACTTTTATAAAAAGTTTAACGTCGATAGTGCAATCCATTTCAAATTATAGCGGACCGAGTAAACTCATTAAATTGAAGTTTACAAGGAAGAAGGTATTTTCTAATAAAAATAACCTTTAATAGGGGTACTACCGCTACGCGATAAAACCGAACCTAGCAAGTTCAATACAAATAGCATATCACAACAAAAAATGTAAAGAAGCATTATTAGCATTTCACGATTTCCAGAAATAAACGTATACACTAATTTATTCCTATTAAAATTTTTTCTAAGACCTTTATGATAACGAGGACTTTTTGCTAAATTTTTTTTGTTTTATATACAATGTATATATTTTACATATACATATACATATATACATATATCGTATATACATTTTTTATGAAGAATTAAAACATTTATTTAGAAGTATATTAAACAGGAGTGGCCTAGGGTATTTTTAGCCCCAAATTTTTTGTATGCAATTTTTTAAAAGTTGAACGCAAAAATATGGGTCATTCTCACGAAAATGTTCAATTTACTGTCCCTTATTAATAATTTACATACTTACGGCGAAATATATATTTTTTTGTAGTAAAATTAAAGAATATTACTGTCTTAACGCTAGTTCCACATGCATTTTGACAAAATTTATTAACACCTTATACAAATTTTAGTTAACAGTACGTGAGATCTCACGTTTGTTAGTTGTCCCCCTCCAGAGTAACTATATTTCAATTTCAATTTTCTTATTTATAAAATTAAAGTTTTAACCACAAAAATAATAAACAGCACGAAAATACAACAAGTTTTTTCATCTTATTAAAAAATATTAGTAAATGTTTTTTTATATCCCCACAGATAATTGTTTTATAGGTGTCCCTGGATGACTTTCTCACCTCCGTTAATATAGACTTAAATTGTGATAAAATATCATAGATGGCTCTTACGATGCCAGTTATTTGTTAATCTAAAAAATAGTTACTGTTTAGTTGGATTCTTGGTGCGTGACATATTATTTTTAGGTTTTTTGGAACATTTTCGAGAATATCAAGTATTAAGTGTCCTAACGTGGATAATTCTCACTGTTGTTAGTGGTTATCAACAGTTAAGCAATTAGATATTAATAAATATAATTACATATTTAAATAATATGAACAGGCAAGCGTTTATATTGTCTGGGACCGGGGTCTTTATAACCAGTAGGACAGGTCAATAGCGGGAAATTTGAATAAAAACCTCACACCCGTTAATCTCACTGCTGTTAAAACCTTTTATAACAAAGGTGAGACATGTTTACGTAAGTGAGGTTAGTATAGTACATATTCTGGTATATTTGTATAATGAGGAGTTCGTAAACGTTTTCTGTTAAATTAATCTGAAATTTTTAGTCCCTAACACCAAAATAATCAGCAGTCAACAAAGTCCTGATCAGGTCTTCATTATTGAGATGTATACTCTGACTGTGATGACGATTTACCTGTATCTTTATGGTTTAGCAATCAGTGACAAGGAAAAACGATCGACGATTTTGTGGTAGTTAAACTGTGCAGTAAAATAATATATTAAAGAACTTATTTTCTTAATTCACTCCTCCGTTAATATCGAATTTAAGTTTTTTACTTAGATTTTTTTAAAATTTATACCAAGAAAATACACAAGTTCATGATAATGACCCATATAAAAAAATTGTTTTCTACGTAAAAAAGAACTTTTGTTAAACATCGATAAAATGCACCATTTTAAATAAAAGTAAAATAACAAATTAAAAAAAATATATTTTTTCTTTTTAATTTAATAAATGTAACCAGGGACCCGGACCAAAACCGAAAAAAACCGAAAACCGGAACGGAACCGGTTTTTTTTTCCGAACCGAAACCCGAACCGGAACCGTTTTCGCTTTTGATAAAATCTGTTGGACCGGAACCGAAACCTTTATTTGCTTTCATTCTAATAACATTATATATCATATATATATATATGTGAGGTTATAGATTAAAATTACGTAAAACAAATAACCTCACTGGAACCGCTTAAAACCGAAAAGAACCGAACCGTTATAACTCCACGAAACCGAAACCGGAATCGGAACCATTAAAACGAAAATAGGGTGAACCAAAACCGTACCGGAACCGATATTTCATTTCGGTCCGGGTCCCTGAATGTAACCAAAAGTTTTAATTAAAAATACACGTGTCCCAAAAATACATTGTTTTATCTCAAACCATTTCGAAAATAACAATAAAAAACAATCTTCAGAGGAGCCCCTTTAAGAAGCTGTAGGTCCCTTAGGGGCCAAGAGGTTTCTTTCTGTTTTTGGCCCTAAAAACCGCTTGTAGAGTATTGAACACTATTTTCGGGACACTCCGTATACATATTAGGGTGATTCATTTCCGAAAAGTTTTTGTTTTCTTCGGTGCTCAAGCAAAATATTAATCTGCATATAGAAAAAAAAATTCTCAACAAGTTTGAGCTCTTAATATAAATTTTAAGTACTTACTATTTAAATTTAAAGTTTTACCGTTTAAAATGCATATATAAAATATATTTTTTTTTTCAAATTTCTAATGATTACCCACCTTTGACAATATTGCAAATCGGTTTAATACACCTTATGGGGAATTTCACGCTCTTTAAAATTGCTTTTGAGTTTTTTTTTGTAACTCGCATTGGTTCACCAGTAGGAGTCGTCAAAGGACAGTTTTTGAAAAAAATCGTTTTTTTTTGAAATTTTTTCTAACAAACCGCAAAAAGTAGGGAGAAAAAAGGGCTGAATCATAAAAAAAGTAATCCAACCAATATTTAATGAATTTACAGCCATTTTTATAACTGAAAACGTAAGAAATTGATAATTACCAACTCATAATGTTATTTAGATTGATTTTTTCTATTTATTATCATTATATTTCTCTACACTAAGAAGTTTTTTAAAATTATTGATTTATCACTTATAATGAATATGAAAACAACAGATAAATTCATAAAAAAACAATAAGAAAATTGTAACGTGGATTTTGCAATTTTTCAACATTTCTGTCATATAGCAAAAAAATATAAATGAAGATTATTTAATTTTTTGAAGCGAAATTTGAAATATGTTACATAACCTTCTGTATATTCCGATTAAAGTTTTGTTGTTTTTTTATGAATTTATCTGTTGTTTTCATATTCATTATAAGTGATAAATCAATAATTTTAAAAAACTTCTTAGTGTAGAGAAATATAATGATAATAAATAGAAGAAATCAATCTAAATAACATTATGGGTTGGTATTTATCAATTTCTTACGTTTTCAGTTATAAAAATGGCAGTAAATTCATTAAATATTGGTTGGATAACTTTTTTTTTATGAATCAGCCCTTTTTTCTCACTACTTTTGGCGATTTGCTTGAAAAAAAATAAAAAAAAAAACGATTTTTTTCAAAAACTGTCCTTTGACGACTCCTACTGGTTAACCAATGCGAGTTACAAAAAAAAACTCAAAAGAAATTTAAAAGAGCGTGAAATTGCCCCATAAGGTGTATTAAACCGATTTGCAATATTGTCAAAGGTGGGTAAGCAATAGAAATTTGAAAAAAAAAATATTTTTTACATGCATTTTAAACGGTAAAACTTAGTAAGTGCTTAAAATTTATATTAAGAGCTCAAACTTGGTGAGAATGTTTTTTCCTATATGCAGATTAATATTTTGCTTGAGCACCGAAAAAAACCAAAAACTTTGCGGAAATGAATCACCCTAATACATATAGAATCTATTTACTTTTTATAGGCTATATATACGAGCCCAGAATCATATCATTTGGTCCAGACAATATTTGAACCGGAACCTATAGGTTTTAAGGTCGAATTTGCGATTTTTAATATTTTTGCAAAAATGGCGAATGCGCCGGGTTTAAAAGTATTACATATATGTAGATATGTATATTAGACGGCCAAAAAAATCAACTATTTTTTTTTGAAAAGTATATCGAAAATATGGTTTGGGGCGACAAAAAAAATTATTGTGAAAGTTTGAGTCTATCATCGCAATTTTAATTTTTTTTCCCTCATCAAGTTTTTGTCTCAGAACTCCCAAACCATTGAGTTTAACAAAATTTACTTAAAAATATTTTTTTAAGAAAATTAAATGCTCTACAAAAAAGGTTAAATGAAAGTTTTCGTCAGATGAACCGTTTCCTTAAAATCATGCCCTAAACATAGGTATACTTTTACATTTTGATCTTTAAACTTTGGAATTTTAAAATTCATGTAAAAATCAGTACCCATAAAAAAACCGATAAATATTCTTATGTGAAATCAAATGCTTTACAAAAAAGCAAGGTTAAATTTGACAAGAATTTCGTTTTGACTTCATAATAACTTTAGAGCATTTAATTTTCTTAAAAAAATATTTTTAAGTAAATTTTGTTAAACTCAATGGTTTGGGAGTTCTGAGACAAAAACTTGATGAGGGAAAAAAAATTAAAATTGCGATGATAGACCTTTTAATATTAATATTATGGACTCAAACTTTCACAATAATTTTTTTT